TTTTTTTTCTTCATTTTTTTTAAGCTCGAAACTAGTAAAAAATATTTCTTCAACTCGATACGATTTAGTATTTCAATGGATTTTTACAGCCTAGCAATCCGTTGAAGGGAAAACGGAAACGTGAAATTCGTTTCGTCGGGCGTTGATCTGTCGATTTCTATCAATTTAAATCATGAACTTGGTTATTCGACCTAGAGTCTTATCTTTCTATATATATATAGGAAGCTTCTACTGGTCTTAAAAAGCTTCGAATAAGATCTCGTAGTATGTAATACCAGACTGGACGAATTCACTTTCAGATTGTTGCAATACGTATATCGAAGTATGATGATGAATATTTAAAAAATTTAATCTAAAAAATACCCGGTGTCGAGAAAGATGGAAATTCATCGAATATCATTTTTCCAATATATCTAGCCAGGACAAATTGTCGTTTAAGATTTATTTCCATTTTCCCTTTGACGAGAGTGTGATTTGTCTAGGAAATATTTATTTTCAAAATTTGCATCTATCGTTCAGGATAATAATTAATGAAAAAAATAAAGACAGAGGAGGAGAGAGAGAGAAATAGAGAAAAGTAAAAGGAGAGATTACTACCCTCGTGAAATTATTTATAATTACAGCGAATAACAGTCAGAGTATGTAATAACGTCGACAGGAAAACCGGACGTCGGCCGTATTGCATCCAATTTTTGGAATTATCGACTCGTGAATTCCGGAAAAGGGAATTTCCTGTCCGTATCTATGTGTACGTTTTCCTCTTTCTCTTTCTCTTTCTCTTTCTCTTTATATTCGCACACAATACAAGCAGTACCGGCGCAGTCGATGCCATGTTTCGCCACGTGTACCACTGACGGCGAGGGTTGAATGCATCCCTCTCTTTCTACGATAGGAGGAAGGGTGTTTGTTTTCGATACGCTTTTCAACGAACGTCGAATCATCCTCTTCTCGTCGTTGAGACGCTTTGCGGTTTACGACGAGGAGAACCTATCTCCACTCTCTTATCCATATGCAAATTTAACTGCATCTTCGAGGAAGCAGGTACTCCTCCTTCGCATACTCTACGAGATCATCGTAAACTTTGCCCCTGGATCGATCCAAACAATATCTAGTTTTCGCGTCTTTACAAAAGATTAATAATTATCTTTCGATGAGATCTTTCTTTAATGATAGTTAAATCATTGAGAGATAAAATTAAAACAAACTTCATTTAGTATGATTTTATAAATAATTAATTTTTATTTTTGTTTCTCTCTATTAAGGGTATATCGCAGAGTTTGATGAACATTTTATAGATTCTTCTTATTGTATTATTCGCGAAATAAATAAAAAATGATATAAATTCAAATTGTACAATTACTTTCGAAGTTTCTTACTTCGAATACACACGTAATTTCAAAAATAATGAATTAATTATTTTAATAGAAATGTTAGATGCGAGGATGTATAATACATTCGTATTAAAAAACAAATGAAATTATTCTATTTAAAATTGGTAATTTATAAAAATGAAAAAAAGAAAAAAAATAATTGTCATATTTTTAATCCTTATAATAGCGATGCCAAAAAATTATAAGTATTTCGTTTAACGTGAATAATCGACATTAATTTTTATATTCCACTTGAAAGTTATTGTCTTTTTTCTACTAAGTGGTTTCATTAAAGTTCGCGAGACGTGTTTCGCCTATGCAGAAGGCGAAAGCTGATTACGAAGGCGTATGATGGTAATCGAGCGAAGAAAGGTAATTCCTTAATTCTCCGCTCGCTCGCTTGCTCGATCCGCTCAATTTAGTGGCTTCGTGCTTGAGAGCTCGCGATACGATGCTTTCCCGTGAGAGGAAGCGAAGAGAAAAAGGAAACTAATGGGAGGAAGGAGAGGGGAAGTATAGAAAATGAAAGAGAGAGAGAGAGAGAGAGATGACGAAGAAGAAGGAACAAAACGTTCGTCCTACTACTCGCGAGTAGTAGGACGAACGTTTTCTTCGACATCTGGAAACTTGCAAATTAAGAGATTCGCTTACTACTACGAGGGGTGGTGTCTTTCGATTATTTTCAAGCATTAAAAGGGTCTCCCTCTTTCTTCCCCCTCCCTCTCTCTCTCTCACTCTTTTCGTTTTTACCCTTCGAGAAGGAAGAAATTCCACGAGTCGCAGCTTCTTTTCGAACTTTCGACACGGGTTTTACATTTTGTCGTAACAGAGGGTGGAAGAAAGACGAAAAGAGGAAAAGAGAGAGAGAGAAAGAGAGAGAGAGAGAGAGAGAGAGACTAGTATATAAGAAAAAGGGGTGGAAGAATAAGGGAGCCACGATAGAAGCCACGTTCGTCGTTCGAAGGTGAACCACACCTCGAACATAGTCTCTCCCTACCCTATTTCTCTTTTCCCTTCTATAGTCAAGCTAACCCCTGACGCTATTGGTATTCCACTCTGGTGCGCCAATATTGCGTTACCAAAACGCGCCCTGCAAGTCGAATCCAAGCCGACGACACGCTTTTCTACGAGCTACGTACGAAGAATCGTTTGTAACTCACACCGTAGTAGTAGTAGTCCATTTACTCTCTATCTATCTATCTTTCTTTCCATTTTTTTTTTCTTTTTTTTTTCATTTTCATATCTCCAAACTTATATCGCTCTTTTTTACTTACTTTTTTTTGTTTTTTTTCTATCACCACTTCACAATCATTTTAATCAATTAATTAATGACAAATTCTCATCGATCATCGATGGTACATTAAAAAAAAAGAGAAAAAAAAAAAAAAGAAAATGACATTGTATTATTTCGATACGTAATACTGACAATACAGAAAGTGAAGCAGTGATCGATTGAACCGTGTAAATTTTCAAATCAGCGTCGTTCGTGAGAGGGCACGAGCCTCTTTCGTGTTAAAGTGAGAGAGAGAGAGAGAGAGAGAGAGAGAGAGAAGACAAGAGCGAGGGTTGAAACGTTCTCCCTTGTCTCTCCGTCTCTCTCAATTTCTCCCACCGCACGAGCATGGAATCAAGTGTTTGAGATTATGACGGAGGCTTCGGTCACGTATTTCATTAACCGTCATGCCGTCGCTTCGCGAAGCTTCCAAGAGGGGAAGTGCCGTGGATCTCTCGAGGGTGCAGCTACCTGCGAAATGTGTTTGCTTTGCATTACGTCCCTACGGATGATCCCGTTATAATTATGAATGTCGTTGTTGCTTTCATCGCTAGATATTAGATATTTTTCTACACATTCCTATATATATATATATATATATTTTTGTGTATAATTCTAAATATTTCTTATTAGATCGTTCCTTTGTATATTACGAGAGATTTAATTAAAATATTAGATTTTTAATAGACGTGGTTAATAAATTTATTCGAATTTGACACATCGAACGTTTCTTTTTTTAAAAATTATTTATTCGATCGAAAGAGTAGAAAAAAAAAAGAATAATCAAGTATTCTCGTTGTTTTAACAATATTTTCCTCTTTCTAATAATTCAAACTTCATATTTCTTTTTTGTCTTCTTATTTTTCTTCTTCGTTATATCTTCAGACCAGAGTTAAGATAACGTTCCCGTAGTTATCGAAGGTAATTCGAATCTTTCATCTTCTTTTTTTGTCTCTTCTTTTTTTTTTTTATTCCAAATCAGAAGACTCATCCGATTCTTGGTCCAGGAAAATTTCAATCTCTTTCGGCCGAGGTATCGTCGTCCTTCTTCTTCTTCTTCTTCTTCTTCATCTTCTTTCTCAATTTTGAAAGCTTGTCGTCTATGTGGTTGTACTATTTTCTCTTTCGTTCTATTTCTCCTGGAGTCTCCCTTCCGAACATTAGTCGAGTAAAGATAGTCGTGAAAAAGGAGAAGGATAAAAAGAGAGAGAAAAAGCTAATGGTAGACATAGTCGATATATACATATCTCTCTCTCTCTCTCTCTATATATATATATATCGATCGATTTCAACGCACATCGAATGCAGGCTCAAAGGAAATTCACGACTGCTTCCGGAGGAAATTCGCGGAATCCCGGAACCGAGGGCCCTTTCGATTCTCACCAAACACCCGACTCTCCTTCTTCATCCCCCGTTCTTCCCCTACACTTCCCGTTTTCCTTAACACCCTCGATGCTGTCGACAGATCGTACGTAAAAGTCGTTACATCCGATTTCCCAACCCTCTCTCTGTCTATCTTATAACCTTTCTAAAAATCTCGATACTATCGTATTCTCGTTTGAGACCCGACCCGAACTTGGTGTTAAGGGTGGAATAAAAAGAAAATGAGAGAGAAAGGAACGACAACGACGAGGGTTGGAACACTCTTCTAGCTTAGCTACGAAAAGACTTTTCCAGGCTATGAATATATTAGAATCAAACAAAGACACTCCACCAACAACTCACTTTCCCTACCCCCGCCTTCCTACCCCTCCTCCCATCCACCTCTCTCACTCTTCCCTCTGTTGGAACACTCTCCCGTCCCCCCCCCGCCTTCCCCCCGTTGCCTTTACAGAGAGTAGAGACCTCACAAGCGTTTATTAAACCGTCCTGCAGACGTTTTCTTAAACACTTTACGCGATTCGTCATTATCCTCGAGTGTCCTGATGACGCAGTTTCCTCCTCCTTTGGCTCTTCCGAACGAATCATCTTCTACTCTTCCCGTTCCCTCTATCGTGTCGTCTCCTTGAAACATAGAGGATTGCTCTGGCTACAATGAGGGGTGGATTCAATTAAATTCATACCTCATTCTCTCTTTATCTTTTCCTTTTTTCTCGTAAGAAAAATATCTTTTTATTTTTCTGACCAATCAAATATTATTACTCGTAAAGTAAAAGCGATTTTTTTTTTGTATTTTTTAACAAGCAACTTCTCAATCAATTTATCTTCATGGAAATTAAATATTTTCTTCAATATAAAATTCGATCTTTGTTATACTCATTATCAGAATAATATGAAATCATCGATTGGTATATTTAATAGTAGATTAGTTGTATTTAGAATATATAATATTGACTTTATGGTGTTTACGATTACAGACAGAGATTTGTTCGAGCGCTCTTACCGATGTCATTCACGCTGTCATCAATGGTACGGATGGTTGCCTCTTTTGTTATGGACATGCAGGTTTAGGTAAGTACGAATTCGCGTCTGTCTTAAGTGAATATTAATGTTTTGCGTATTGATTATTGTTTTGATTCTTGTTACATGAAAATATATTAAAAAACAAAACAAGTTTAATTATTAAATATAATTTATTATTAGATCTGGTTAATAATATTAATCAACGAAAATAGTTGCAGTTATAATAAACTATTCGGGCCCTATAAAATACTTCAGTTAAAAGTATTCAGCACACAAAGGGTTAAATACTAACTGATACAATCACAAAATTGATCTTATCGTGTATTAAAAATTGCATTTATAACACGCATTATGGAGTTGATAATTATTTTTATCGATATTTTTGAAAAGAAATCTATTGTTCACTTTTTTTTTAATACAAAAAATGTCATATATTTTGTATCCCATTCTTCTTATCTGCATACAAAGCATAATAGATTCTCGGAGAGATGTAAACAAATATTTGCCGAAACATCGCTGGCAACGTCTAATCAAGAGAGACGACCATTCAGCAACGACGTGGTACACGTTACAAGAGTACACGACACGTACTGCATACATACACATACATACTAATGTATGCTACGTCTATCTTATGTAACGACTATCACTTCGAAGATTAGCTCGAGTGATATATATATATATATATGTATATATGATACATACACAGTTGTATGGTATACGCATATAATATATATTTCATGGCTCGATGTGTTTTTATCTGTGATATGTTCTCTTTTCAACGTAGAAGATGTTCATTTTTGCGACAACAAAACGTAATTGTTATGCATGAAAGATGACGTCAAAGAAAATCATTTTTCGACAAACACATTATAGAATGAACTTGTTCTGATCTACCATATTCTTTTTGTTTCTTTTAATATTTCAATACATTTTCTCGCCCTTTTTGTTTGCGATTTTTTTCTTAACAAAATTTTAATCTCTCCGGAATAAATTTGAGAGTTAGTTTTCGTTTTCGGTAACACGTCATAATTTTATGGATCTACGTGAATTTCACGAACTCATTAATTATTAATTGAAATTTTACGAAGGAAATATTGAACAAGTTTGGAAAATAATGGGAATGGAAATAAGACGAATTAACGAAACCACGAATACTCGATTCGACATCCGATCACAAGTCGATGCATAATCCTGAGAACGTTTCGATTCTCCAAACTAATCCTGTTAGCGTTCCAAATTTCCCACGAAAGTTTCATCAACTTGTACGATCGATCTTTCGTCAAATCCACGACCTTCTCCGTTTCGATATAAATCCAAATCCGTGAACTCTCCTAATTCGAAGAAATCAAATTCATAGAATGGAATAGTAGGAAATTCTACAGGATTTTAACTCGGAGAAACGCGAGAAATTTATTTTTATCGTAAAGACTTTTTTTCCCCGTTTCACCAATTTGTCACATTTTTAAGTTGTTTTCTATTCACTTTAACCATAAAATAGGAAGAGGGAAAAAGAAAGATGAACGAGGAATATAAAAAGAAAAAGAAGAAGAAAAAGAAGAAGAAGAAGTAGAAGTAGGAAAAGTACGTTGTGCAAGGAAGAGACGAAAGAGAGAAAGAGGGGGAAAGAAAGAAAGAGAGAAGAACACGGGGTTGTTTTACATTTTAAGTAGTGATATCGAATTTGCATGCAAATGCACGATTATGCGAGCTCGGAGACGAGAAAGAGAGGTGGAATGAGAAGGTACCAGTGTATCACGACTAGAAAGAGACGAAATTCTTGAAAAGAGAAAGTATAGAAGGAGAAAAAGAATACGGGGGTAAAAGTCACCTCCTAGAGGAGGTAGCCGAGAATAGACGGAAATGGGAGGAGTTATAAGGGAGTGGAGAAAGGGTAGAAGAAACGAAGGGATGAAAAGGTAAAGGATAATGTATGCTACTAGGACACGCTCCTTTTCCTTGTACCTTTCGAATCTTAACGCACGTTGCCAGAGATTATCTCCTTTCTCGTTTATTCCTATCGGTGTAACAAGAGAAGAAAGAGAAAGAAGTACGAGGAACTCTTAGAGGCTCGAAGGATTTATGGCAAACTTACCATCGGCTCTGATTAAACTTTGTTAAACTTACACCCACGCTTTTACCGTCTGACTTCTTTACTACGCGTATCTTTTAGACTAAATTACTGTCGATCATATAAGAACGAGGGAGAAAGAGAATCATTTTCAGTGGCTACGTTTTCCTTGTACCTTCTCTTAGAAATTTATATCAGGTTAAGATCGTGAAGGCTGACGTTTCACGAGTTGAAAGGTTAAAGTATTGTATATATATATATGCATATTCGTGTGCATAGGTGGTACTCTTTGACTTTGCTTTCGAATGTTCAGTGAGATCGATATACTCGGGAAAATGGGTTTCACGCGGAAGATTAAAGTACAGTTAGGTTTGAAATCGATGTTTTCATTCTCAACCCAAGTCACGCAGAGTTTTTCTTTTGCCCGGTACCTACAAGGTAAATTTTTATGTCGAACAGTATTACGATAATAATCATTTTACATTTAATTTCTGTTTTCTCTCATTTTTTCTTTTTCTTAATCGATAATTAGTTTGTAATTCTATTGTTTTATTTTATAGTATAATATATTGATATATACCTATATATATATATATAGAATATGAATAAGAGATATGAAATAAGAAAGCTATCGACGACTTTTGTTTATAAGCATCGTTTTCTTTCTCGCTCTTACAATTAGGGAAAGAAATTGGATGGTTCATTGTCTTGGAGAATAATCGCAGAAAGGAATATTTCTTTTCAAATGTATCCTATCGATCCTTCAACTAAGAATATACAATTCTTTTCCCCTAAGAACTGATTCTCTTTTACTCATTCCAATACTTTAACTCAATCGATTCTAACGTTGAAGTATTCTGAAATCGATTTCCTTTAGTGACTTTTACGCGTTCTTTTTTTTACGCATTTCACGAAAGTCTTCTTCATGATCGAATTGCGGCTTTTTCTTCTTCTTTTATTTTTTTTTTTTTCCTTTTAACGTACTTTGATTGGACTGTATATAAAGAACGTGAACAAATTTGAACATCATATTTTCTCTTTGGTATTCTAATTAACTTCTACTTAGTTCTATTGCACAAATTTGACGAAGTATTTTCTTGAATATCAATCCGTCGAATATATAAAACGACAATATAATCGTTAAGTGGCATATATATATATATATATATATATATATTTCTTATTGTATTATAATTATTATAATAATAAAGTGTAAGTCTCGGATTTTCTGTCCGCATTTATACCTTACCATTAATCGTCGTTGAAAAGCCAACAAACTTTTCCAAGTTTCTCCTTTCTCTTTCTTTCTCTTTCTCTTTCATTCTCATTCTCGGTGTTATTAAGTTAGAAAAGTTAGGTCGCTTTTAACGAAGGCACCTGGTAAGCTTATATCAATTTTCGAAGCTCCATGGATAGAGTTTAAAGTATGACAGTAAAGATTATCGTGAGATATAGATGTAATATATATAAAAAAAAAAAAAGAAAAAGAAAGAAGAAAAGAAAACTAAAGTCGAGAAACAGAGAAAATGGTGACATGTAAGTCGTGTGTGTTACGATGATAGGTAAAGAAAAGCGTAAAAAAAAAAGGAAAGTAAACGAACTTTCGAGCACTCGCGGTCCTACCGAGATACTTCAGGCGAGTCCTCGAGCAAACCGCTTTTAATCTTTGCTACGAAAGAAAACGTAGTTTTCTCGCTAGTACTACTCTAGTTTCTTCTTTTTATATCCTAACAACCCTAACTCTTTGCCGGGTTGTCTAACATTTTCTAACGAAAAAAGATAGAAAGAAAAATACAAAAAAAAAGAGAGAGAGAGAGAAATAAAAGGAAAATCGAATAAAAGATACAAGAAGATAGAAAAAGAAAAGCTAAGAATTGAAACAAAAAGAAAAGATTTACACGACATGGAAAAAAATGTGAAAAATTTGTAAAAGGAAAAGTTAGAAGGGTAATCGAATGTATACAATTTTCGAAATGGAATCCACCAAGTGTGAGATTTGTGACGTTGGTGGATTGGTAAAAAGTACTGTGTGTACGATAAAGAGAATAAAGTAACAAGAATAGAAAGGGAGAGAGAGAGAGAGAGAGAGAGAAAGGGAGAAAAAAAAGAACGGAGTAACACGACTGGAAAAATACGAAGAGGAAGAGACGAATAAAAAAGAGATAGAAAGAGAGAGATAGAGAGAACGAAAGAGATAGAGTAAAAAAATTAGTGGGAAGGAAGAGACGGGAATGTTCGTACAAGTGGTGATGGGTATGTAGGAAGAGAAAAAGAGAGAGAGAGAGAGAGAGATGGATTGATAGAAGGAAGGGTTGAACGATGGAACTTTCAAAGCAACAGATTTTCTGTGCAGCATTTGTCGCACGAAAAATCTGAAAGTGGATGAACGAACAACGGCAGGAGAAGGGTAGGGGGTGGAGAGGGTTGGGAGCAGTGTTGGAGGAGGATGAGGAGACACAGATAGATAGAAATAAAAAGAAAAGAAAAAAAAAAAGAAAAGAAAGAAAGAAAGATAAAAACGAAGGGAAGAAAGAGTGTCGCAAACAGAGTCGCAACAATAAGTCCACTTTGTACTTTGTAACGCGTTGCTAATTACCCTCCAGTGTGCATAACTCTTATGGTGTATTCTTCCTTTCTCTTTCAATATCATCCCCTATATCCTCTATTCTATTTCTCTCTTTCTTTATCCGTCGAATATTTTTCACATTTTTCGAACAAATTACTTTTTTCGAGAGTAAAAGTATTGTCGTATGATCAATCGCGATGGATTAACAAACGAAATCAAAAAAAAAAGAAACCTTATTAGAAGGAACAAAATAATAAAAAGAAAAGGGAAAAAATAGAATTTGAAAGTATTATTCGAAAATAACTTATTCGATAGAATTCATATAATATTTACATTAACATATGATAGCTTAGGTTGATAAAGGGGTAGTTTAGGAAGAATTTGAGTCTCTAGTTGAAAAAGTTTTTGGACAAAGTAGTAGTAGAATAATAATAATAATAATAATAATAATAATAAGAATAAGAAGACGGACCGAGACGTACAGGCAACCGTCGAGTTTATCCTACGAAAGCACCAGCAGACGGCACGTTTCCCGGTCTTTCTAATTAAATAACAACATAATTCACCGTCTTACATTAAGACAATTAAATAACGTTTAAGATTCAACGGTGGCGTTCCTGCTTTTCCATTATTTCGACTGTTACTGTTCCAGCCCTCGTTTCGTTCCAATCTCTCTCTCTCTCTCTTTCTCTCTCTCTCTCATTCTTTCTTTCTCTTTCCAATATTCATTTCATCTTCAATTTTCCTCTCTCTCTCTCTCTCCCTCTCTCTTTTTCTCGTTTGTTCATTCGTTTACCGCACTTTCCTTCGCATTTTATCATCCTTCTCACTTTATCATACTATTTTATGATTTTAATAAAGGCGCTTTTATTTCCCTATCAATAACGTTTGCCATGGCAGCCGTCGATCTTTCCAGAAAACTCAGAAAACTTTTCTTACCCTTTTGAGACCGACGACCAACCAACCGATCATCCACCATGTTAATATTAAAACTCGCAACGACGGGATGTATATAGAAGAAATATATTTAAGTAATTAATGAGAAACATTTGATAAATTATTTGATGGCAAGGATGCAATTATAAAAATAATAATAATGATTGTCAATGTGATAATCAAATGACATGTTTAAAACTCACACCTATGGTATCTCATATCTACGTTGATTCAATGAAAATGATTTGACTAGCCTGTATTTGATCCGAATCTGCGCGAGCTTTAATTCACAATTACCAGAAGGTGTAATCGCGCGTTTACTCTAAAACCGCGGCTCGTTATGACGGACCAATCACGAAACGACGAGCTATATCGTCATTGGTCTCTCGACTCATCGACACCGTTTGGGGTTCATTGTCACGCGTTACATCTGCCCACTAAATGGTAAACAAATTAATCGCAACTCCACAGCGTACCGCAAATCAAATATCGCAATTATTGCATCTATCGAACGCTAGTTGAACACTCGCACTGGATCAATCGGCGTTAATTGAATTTTCACTGAATAGGAAAATCGAGCTGTCTCTCTCCTTGATTAGTATAATCTATGTGTTACGTTTTTATATTTATCTTATTTATTATAATTTAGAAATTGTTATTATTATTTGTTTTTAATCAGAATTAATGTCACGTTTCGCGAATCGTTTTAAACGATTCATGATCGTATCATGACAAAGCTTGCATACAAACGTTTGTATTTAACGATAAGTGTACATTTAATAGTACTAGTACCGTAGCATTTAGTAAAGTTGAATAAAAGAGGGTTGTTTTTAATACAACAGAAAAAGGAATATAACGATATAGTTAAATCTTTATATATATATTTCATTTTAATCCTCTTGTTATTTTGTTAACTATAAAAGATAATTACGATATTTCGTAGATAATAAAAATATGAAAAAGAGAAAGACGCGGGATGGACGTTTAAAAAAATGTGAAAAAAAAAATTGACACAAGCTGTTATATTGAAAGAATTTATATTCACGGAAACAAAATGAAATGTTTATATATAAAAAGTAATAAAAAGCTATGGAATAACAATAATGAAAACAAAAAATATCCGTTGATATTGACAGAAAGGTGATTTTATTTTTCCAGGCAAGTCTCACACAATGTTGGGCACCCCTGAGGCAGGACACACTTTGGGTGCAATCCCGTGCGCGATAGCGTGGCTCTTCCGTGGAATTTCCGAGCAACGTCAGAGAACCGGTGCCAGATTTAGCGTGAGGGTCAGCTGCGTAGAATTGACCACTGGCCAGCAACAGTTGAGAGATCTTCTTGCTGCTCACGCGAATGGTGAGTACTCGTTAAAAACATTACCACTTTTATATTACATTATATTATATTATATTTGATATTTAATTTCATTAGAATGAAAATCGACGATCTAATTAATCAACAAACAAACGAGTTTTCATTCATAATTTTGTATAGTTGATTAACATTCGTGATTTTCTAAAAAAAAAAAAAAAAAAATAAGAATCTAGAGAATTCTTGGTTTTTTAAACCGGTATTTTCTTTCTCCCTTTAATATATAAATACTCTTGAAAAAGTTTTCGAGTAAATCTTGTTTCGACGAAACGAGGCCCACCGTTTCTAACCTTGAATGTCACCGAGGGATGAAGTCACTAGGGGCCGAAAAGTTTCAAGCGGTTCTCTCCTTTCCGTGATGGGGTTTAACGTTCCCGCAATTAATTTGATGCCTCGAACAATGCGGCCAGGTATAATCGTTCGGATTAATTACTGCAGAGTACGTTAGAATAATGAGAAAGAGAAAGAGATAAAGGAAATCGTTGCACCCCCGAATACAACCTAAGTTAATCTTCAAACTCATCCAATTTTCCGATCTTTGCACTAATCATAGTCTCGTTTTAACAAAATGGAAGAAGACAGATAAATAAAAATTAAAAAAAAAAACAAATAAAACAGATAATAATATCTAAGACTTTCAATCGTAATCAAAAATATAATAACCAGTATCGATCAATATCTTAGACTATTATCTGTATCGTTAAATTTCAAGAAAACAATTTAGTAGTCGTTAGAAATTGAACTTCGATTGGATATTTGAATCGAATAACGACGACAGTTCGATTAGCCACGTTAATTGGAAACGAGACATTTCTATTACAGCTTTTACTTTATATTATTATATTGATGAACGAAATAGTTTCATATTTTAACAAATCAATTGTTTACGAGCTAAAGCGATTAATTTCATCTTAATAATTTTATCCAATTTTTATATTTAAAATAAATTTCCTAAATAATTATATAGACTTCTTAACATTATTAAATGAAAACAATTTTTATGACGTTTGATAATAAATCATACGACGATGTTATATTGTTTTTTGTATTGAAGCATGTGAATGACTTCAAATATCAATAAATTTTGTCATATTTTGTAAAAAAAAAAAAAGGAGAAAGAAAGAAGAAATAGACGTTAAAGAGATAACAAATGATAAATTTTTCTTTATAAAAAATACATACACACAAACAAAAAGAAATATAACCACTTGAATTATACAGCCATAAATGCTGTATACATCATAAATCCCGTTAGATTTCGCGGGCCATTTCATCGTTTCTTGTCAAGAAAGTTTTCTGTCTCTTACTCTTAAATGTCTCTCAAAAATTATACGTTCCGCGTTTATTGAAACGGTTCCTTTGCGAAAAAGAAAACGGAAGAAAATCGTAAATCGTAATACGTGAAATATAGGAGAAAGAAAATCTCTATTTTAGTTTTCTTTAGGATATTCTTGTCGATAGAAAGAAAGACGATACTTTTAAACGATAAAATATATTCTTGTATATTTCTATCACATTCGATGACGATGAAATACGATCGGAAACGACGAAAGGGACAATTTTTCACGTTGACTTCCTATCCTACTTCCTTCTACTCGAACAAATTCAATTTTCGATGAGAGATTTTCTTTATATGTACTCGAATTCCGTAGAAATTCTCTTTTTCCAAGTTATTTGATCAAAACATATATATATATACGTGAAATATTCTCGTTTGGACAAATTCGAGGATGATCATAAACGTCGAGGATTCGTCGTAATATGCCAATCAACGTCGTTTTTCTTTTCGCATGTCTCGTACGTGGTTGTCTTGACAAGAATAAGAATTGTCGTTGTCCGACCATCCAAGATTTTTCGACCGAAAAATCTTCGAACGTTTGAGGATTTCTCGAGACTGGTAATATGCATGCAGAAGAAGAAAAAGAAAAAGAAAAAGACAAAGACAAGGAAAAAGAAGATGAAGAAGAAGAAGAAGAAGAAGAAGAAAACTGACCGAGGGCTGATGAAGGGTGATGGAGAAGGAAGACGAGCAAATGCATAAGGGTGGTATTGGCCGCAATTTGGTTTCTTCTTCACGGACCGGCGAGTGGACGAGGTGATCCGTAAAATTGGGAGGGCCAAGATCATTTCCTTTTTTCTTTATTCCCCTCTTATTCATCTTACTTCTCTTTCTTTTCTATTTCATCTATCCGTACACATCGTTTCCTGTGTTTCTCGAAGAATTGCGAAAGAGGAAAGACTCGTTGAACTAATAAAGACTCCTCTTCGTCTTTCAGTATGTTAGATGAAAACAAAAAAATATATATATATAGAGAGAGAGAGAGAGAAAAGAGTCATGATGCACTTACGGAAACTATTCGCGAGCTAGGGACTCAGGAATTCTATGAAGAATGGTTCTATGACTCTGAAAATTAACTTCGACCTCTTCCTCTTCTTACTTTCTATTTCTCTATCTTGGTACTCTCATACTCCTTAACCTCTCGATAATTGGACACTGGAATTGCCGGAGTAACGTCGGATAAGAGATAGAAGAAAAGATATATACGTGTGCAAATCTATAGGGTGTCCCAGCTGAAGGAGTCTACCTACTAAACATTTTCTTTTTTTTTAATGATATAAAAAATGTGTTTAGGACATATTGTGATTGGCTTCGTGTCTTTTAGAGTCTTACAATTTTATCACATTTTTCATATTCCAAGTTATTTAAAGATCATGATACAAATATATTTGAATATATCTTTTCACCCGCTACAAAGTATTATATATAAAAAAAAAACGCCTATATAGGGTAGCATACTTATATAAAGTAGGTTTGTTGTTTGTTCATGATATACATCTTTTGAAATCAATCAAAAAATATGTCTTAAATAGTTTTCATATAATTAAAAACAAATAAAATATTTAGGTAGCTTCTGTTGGCTCGGACACCCTGTATACCACGCACCTATAAAATGTCTTATCTTATTATCGAGGATGGTTAACCTATCTCAAATAGTATTACTACTTCTGTCTCGCTTAGTATAAAATAATCGTAGAAGATAACGGTGGATATCCTGATGAATACTAAAGTCGGTTTAAATACTCGGAGACTTAATTCTTTGTGTTTTTTTTCCTTGGCTTTTTTCCTTCTTTTATGATCTCTTATTTCTCGTAAAAAAAAGGAACGACGAATTTCTCGAAGTAGTTAAAACCAATTGATCTGGTAAAAAGAGTAAGAAGATGAAAACAGGTGATTTTCGAAGTAATTACGTCTACGTGGAGTATCATTCGTTCGATTTTTCCATCATCGACGTATGCGAGATGCAAGGTAAAGTGCGGAAAGGAATGAGGTGAAATAAATGGGAAGAAATTCCTGTCACGTTCGAAGTAATCGCGATCTCGGGTACTTACAACCGAGCCGGTTTGGTTTCGTTGATTTTCTCTTCTCACGAAAGGCGATCTAATGAAGAGCCGGTGCAATTAATTTCCTGGCTTATTAAATAAAGTAACTCGTGTCTTTTTCCGGAATCTCTTATTTGCTCATCGTACGAGGGTCCTATCTCTCTTTCTATCGCGTACACTCTTGTAAATCGTTTTTTTTTTCTCTTATAATAGGATTCAACTCGCTCGACGATATTTCCTTTCTATTTCCCTTTCTATTTTGCTCCCTTTTCTATCTTTTCGTAACCGCCTTATTCCTATTCCTTTTCTTGTTCTTTTAAAAGCAAACTCATTTTCTAGATATTTCAATCTCTAGAAAGAGGATATATACTACCATTCGAGTTAACTCAGATTCAACTTCATTTCGTTATCTAAACTTTTACGTTTTCTTATACATCGTTTACAGTCCACTTTGCGTTCTGTTTATATTATTTTATTTTTTGTCTCTCTCTCTCTCTCTCTCTCTCTCTCTCCTTTTACTTTGCTCTCTTTTTTGTCTTTACTTCTCGTTCTCTTGAGAACTCGATAATCCAGTCTGGTAATTATTGAAGTTTTCTTAAGCACTGAAAACTCGTGGCATCTTTTGGATAATTCAGAGATAGTAGGTATTAGAGATAGAAAGAAGGAAAATTTTCTTCTCTCTCTCTTCCTCTTCCTCTCCCTCTCTTTCTCTCTGTTTCCTCTTCGTTTGCTGATTCTTACTTATGTTCCGATTCAAGCTTTCGCCAAGTCAAATTAATTGTAAATCAGATTCACCGTTCATTCCGTTATTTACAACGGAGTCGTGATTTCGCGAAGCTCCGAGAAGTTTTCGCTTTGAAACGTCTTCTCGCGTAGGAACCGTCCACCGGTTTTAATTAAAGACTACATCCGCGAAAGTTTCAAGATTAACGAGTCGGATCGTTTAATTCCAAAATGCTCTTATCGCTGTTCAAAAATTATAACGGCAAATCTTGCGTTTAATACTTACCGACTTGTGGAAATATTTCGCTAGAAAAATATTTCGAACGTTTTATTGCGAAAAGAATAAGAGAAAAAGCAAAAAAAAAAAGGGAAAACCTTTTGAAGTAACGTAAGCCGAACGGATAGGACGTTAAACCATTTGATTATTTTTACGTATCAATAACGTTATTGATCGACCATCGCGGTCTCGTGTACTGTATTTGCTTTTAACGGATGATGGACAACGTCCAGTTGTTTGATGACCACAGATCGATATATGTCCAACTACAACTGACTACATCAAAGTCGTATATATATTTATTTATTTATAACCCTTTGCACTCGGCGCCGTTTCGGACGTTATCTATCAGCAACTCGACACTACTTTGTCGCGTCAACGTAGGTTTATTCTTGAGTCGTCACATATTATATAGTATAACTTTTGAATTAAGTATGGTATTGTGATGATTTCTGGTTTATCTGAATTTATAGACATCGACGAACACATATTTGCAAATAAATCAGAATTTATTTCTTATTATTTGGTACAGTGTGATCAACTCTGAAGCAGTCCTTAATATGCATTGTTGGCTTATTTTTGCACATTATACAATAATAACTTG